CTATATTATATATCTATATTATATATCTAATATGTAACATGTATAATGTATTCTATATTCTGTATATATGTAGTTCCAGTATATGCTTGAGAAACAGTTCACAAAAAGATTATTTTCACTGAGAACATGTCAAATTTGTTTAGATGGGCTGAGGTTATTTTTTGGAGATCATTCTGTATGGTAATTTTTGTTATTCTTTTACCAGGTTCTACATATCATGTCTTCTCTGACAGGCCCATTCTCATGCACGCAAACCCCTACCTTTTTGATAAGAATTTCCTCCTCCACTTTTGAATTTCTTCTCAGCACAGTATTCTCAGTTTCTTCTCCCTGGTTACTGTGCTGGTAAAAAGCTGTTACACACCATTCCAGCAGTTCAATTTCAGCAGTAAACACTGAAATTTCTGAATTGTAAATGTACACTACAAATGGTTCTTGTTGTGTATGTTCTTCTGGTTTTGGTAAATTGTCACCAAGAATTACATCATTAATCCTAAACTTTAAGGATTTTTTTTTGAATTTGACATTTCAACTATTGATTTGATTTTTTAACTTGCTTAAAAAGAACACCGGTTTTGTAAAAAGAAGTTGATATCTTTCATTGTTAATAAGAGATTCTTTCAAGATTGCTTGAAGGCTTCAGTAATGTGACATGTCATATGATGTTGCCTACTCTTCTTTGATTCCAGCAGGTGAAGGAGGTGTCATTTACAGAAGAAGAAAAAGGAAAATCACTAAAGGGAATCAGTAAGTTGAATGAAAAATAGTAACTAATAGTGGAATTGACTCTCGTTTCCAGACAGGAAGAGATAAGTGTTTGTGGTTTCACTAGTTAAGTATTTTTGGTATTATTTTTCTACATAAGCAACTGATATAATTGCTAAAGAAACAACAGTGAAAGGATCAGAACATCCTGTGGGCACAGATGGAGCTTGCATTGTGTATACATTTTTAAGATATTATATTCATTTAATTTTAGCAAGAGTGTCATCAGTTTCTCAGAGATGAATGGGTATTTTTTACGTGCTCATTAAGGCACATGGAAGGCTGCAATATGGGCAAAAGTTGTAGCCTGTTCACAAACCCCAACTCTTTTGAGAAGCACTTTCTTGTTCTCATACATGAGGCCGCAGGATCTCCAGTCTTATTGTCCCCAATGCTTTTGGGGCACTGGTGTTCTGGTGGCTCCACTGGGCAGACATGTGCTACCTGAATGAAAAATAAGAGCTAAAAAGTAAGTTATTCATCTTCCTTGTGAAATCCTCAGTCTTTACAACTCGACTGTAGTTGGACTTCAGCAATTTGATATCAGAAGGTTGTTTATGTGGCAGTTTATCACTGTCTCTCACAGGCAGCAGTTTTTCTTATCATTGTTTCCATTAACACACAGAGCTTTGCAAAAAAAAAAAAAAAGGAAAAAAAGGAGTGTCCTCTATTTTCATACAAAACTCCATCTTCTCCTTGGATTTCCTTCCACAGGAAGCACATAGGCATGTATGCGCTTACTTGCATATTAAATAGACAAGATAAAACTGTTTCTACCCTGCAGAGATGAGTTAAACATTGAAAACCAGCGGAGGGCAAACATGGTCATTCACTGATCTCTGAGGTGTAACAGCTACAACTCACAAGGGTTGGGAGGCCGAGGCTGAGGCAAACTGGCTTTGCCTTGTACTTCTCAAGCTCACAAATTGAAAGGAGAATGCTGGGAATGCAGTGTTAAAGTTCTAAAACTGACCCTCGGTCTGCCTTTCGATATCAGCAGCTAAAAGGGCAAAACCAGAGAGATACAAAGATACAAAGCTTCTGTAAGATCCAGGTCTGCCTGGAAGGATGTGAGGGGAGGCTGTCACCCCGAATCACAGTCAGCACTTCAGGAAGAGACAGTGCTGAAGTTTGCACCAGGATTTTATGCCACAGCCAAATAAATCGCCACGTCTTGTATGTGCTACTGTTAAATGTTAATAAATCTTGGCAAAGACCTCACCGAACAACAAAACTGTGTCCCTGTGAAATACTGTTCAGAAGACCAATGCAACTCCCACGAACTGATGTATCCACCCATGTAAGTTTATTGGCAGGAGATAAATCTGGTATATTTTACACGGTCATATGTTATTAAAATGCAGATGGGCCCAGGCACAGCTTACACAACCAGTATCTCCATAAGAGGCTCTGCACCTCTACAGTCCAGGGAATTATTTTAGGTAAAAGTACAGGAAAAGATAATTTATCTCCTTGGTGGGAGGGATGATTTTTGGTATCGCTAACCTTTCTCAGCAGTAAAGGTGAAAAGAAAATCGAGTTGGATCCACCAATCTCACCTGAAATCTGTGTCAGGTCCCTGTAATTCTTTACAATTATTAAACACTGAGCTGCAGCACAGCATAATAAATTACCGTTTCTCAGATTTTTGGAAGTTATCTGTTACAGTAATCTACTATTATCAGACAAGAACGGCTTGGTTGCTCTTCGTTTTTCATCTTTTCTCTGAAGCCCAAGAGAGATTAGTGCTCTATTAAACTTGAATACCATACCCATTGCTGCTCAGCTGCCTTTTTAGGTGTCAGATCTTACCAACAGCCAAGTGATGCATATTTTCCTCAGAAAACAATTTCTCACACAACTTCCAATTTTCTTATTCTGCAGAACTTGCAGAAGAAGGGGTTGCTTTGAGGGTCAGGGGTTCTGTCACAGATTCACTAGGAAGTATAGTGTACATACACTGACAAAAGGGAAGGCTTTATCTTCCCATGTAAACACAGACTTCCTTGCTTAGTCCTTATACCTTGTAGGGCTTCCCAAATGAAGCCTCCCAATTGCAGGTTACCACAGAAGAGCTGAAATAGGATGGACCCCATCTCTACTTACCAGTAGGACCAAGAAAACAACCTTTGAATTTTCTGATTGATACAGGAACTCAAATGTCTCTGATGACCCCCATGGATACTAATAAATCTGACAAAAAACATTTTTTCTAAAAAGATTTCAAAAGGATGGATATCTACTCTAACTTAAGTTTGTTTGCATAGTGTGAAGAACCTCGATCAGTATTGTTAAGATACTAGATAATTTGAATAAGATTTTGATGGCTTTGATTAATATTTGTATATATTTTGTCTCAATAGTTTTGCAGTGTGTGTATATAAATTTTCCACAAGCACTGCTTTGGAATGTTTGTGCCTTCTCTCTGGTTGCCACAGTGGATGGAGAAGATTCCTCCCTGAATTTGGATGATTATGGAATCAAGTTTTTGTCCTTCTTCCTACCTCCTCAGGGGCCTCATAGCCCCCATATCCATCACAGCCCCTACAGAGTCACAGGCTCCAAAGCCCTCATAGACCCTAGAGTCCCTATAGCCATTATAGCCTTCAGAGCCCCCATAGCTCTCACAGTCCTCACAACCCCCACAGCCCCATAGCCCTCACAGCTCCTATAGCCCTCACAGACCCCATAAACCTCACAGCCCCCATAGCCCCCATAGCTCTCAAAGCCCGTCACAGCCCCTATAGCCATTACAGCCCCCATAGCCTTCACAGCGCTCTTAGCCCTGATAGTTCTCATAGCCCTCATGTTCCCTATAGCCCTCACAGCCCCAATAGCCCCTCATAACCCTTAAAGCCCCCATAGCCCTCATGACCCCCACAGTGCTCACATCCCCCATATGCCTCACAGACCCCACGGCCCTCACACACCCTGTAGTGGTAACAAACCTCAAACCATCAGAGCCCCCACAGAGCTCACAGACCAAATGGCACTCACAGTCCCATAAGCCTCAGAGCCCCTGTAGCCCTCACAGCCCCTATAGCCACCATAGCCGGCAAAGACCCCAGAGCCCTCAAAGAACCTATTGACCCCAAAGCCTCCATTGCCTTCACAGCCCCTATAGCCACCATAGCCGGCAAAGACCCCAGAGCCCTCAAAGAACCTATTGACCCCAAAGCCTCCAT